ACTTGAATATTTTTTTTTTTTAAGAAAATGAATCTAATTGGTAGAAGAGGACGTCAAATATAAAAAAATTCTAGTACTTTTCTTGATAAAAATAAAGAGTTAGGTATTTAATTTTTGAAAATCATTAAAATGTATTTAATAGCTAAATATTTTTGTTGTACCTATTATAAATCACATAAATATACCTAGATAAAAATGTGGTAATACAAAATCTGTTTTAATATTTTAATTCTTAAACCAGTTTATTTGCGGTGAAGGTTACCGCAAAATGATGTAGCCAGAAAATGAAAAATTAAAATTAATAATACGCTGTAATCGGAAGATCGATTTTTCTGTAGTATAATATTAACGTTTGAGCAAAAATATATACTCAAAAAATGTTCCTAATCAGTTAACTAATTGGTTAACGCGCTAAACCTAAAAATATATTATTAGATTAGGTTTGTGGTTTCAAATTGTTTTAGTAATGTTTTTGAAACGATTTGAATTTAAACCGTATATTACCTACGGAGCTACGGGAAATGTCACGAATTGTTTAGTAAAACATTATAATAAGTACAGTGTACATTGTACATCTATTGTAGTTTCTTCGAAAACGAACCAATTGAAAATTTTTTACGTCTAAAGTTATCTGTAAACGCTCAGAGTACGATTTATAACCTATATATTTAAACATTTTACAGTAATTGGATACACGATCTGTTTTGATTACAGGACAATTCACTCAACTCGTGTGGAAGGGCTCACACTCCATGGGTATAGCGATGGTGAAAGGCAAGTCTGGAAGAATTGTGATCGTCGCAAATTATAACCCACCCGGCAACATAATGGGACAGTTTATGGATAACGTTCTAAAACCTAATTAGATCATTTATGTTATCTATACACATTAGTCATAAACTTTCATTCCTTTTTTTTTAATTCAAATATCTATTTTCATTTTTTTTTTCTATTATTTTATACAATCGTTATTATGTATACTGATTTCAAAAGTATTATTATTGTCTTTCATTAAAAAAAAAAAATAAATAATTTATATATATATATATGTACATTTTACATACTATACATAATATGGCTATTAAATTATTAGAAATGTTTTTTACATATTACAACATGATGCGCAAATTACGATTGTACTAGATTATAGTTTATAGTAGTAGAATCAAAATGTTCAAAATGTTCAAATAACTACAATTATTTTTGCCAAACTATATTTTTAATATGCGAGATTATTATTTTAATATATTTATATTATTAAGTAAATAAACTCAAAAATTTACAATATAATATTTTAATCATGTCTGCTTTGTTTCTTTAATATGAATTATATTTTTTGTGCTGTATTAGTTATAAATCATTATATATTTACATGAAGTGATTAGTTAAAAACATTTGTATAAGTTTTCTAAAAACTTAGATCAAAAACAAATGCGATTCGATGAAACTATATAATATATTATTGTAGACAATTCAATGAAAATATACCATGATATATAATACATTAAATACGATTAGATAATAATAAGAAAATTCGAATACAGACAAATATTCAAATTTTATTGAACTAAATTTTAAATTATTTTTTCCAATCATGACGTTATTTTGTTTAAATAAAATTTGTATTGAACACAATAGAAACACGTTTTAAGTAGGTAGTAAACTAAAGTAGAAATATATAGTTTAATTTATTGAATTATTTATCAGGATGTTGATTCATTTTAATCATTTTTATCAATATATCAAATAAATTTATGTTCGTATTATCGGCAATTTTTAAAATAAATAATGCGTTGGTTAGGTTGCCTATTTAGCTTCAAGTGAGAATATAAGAATATTAAAAATCACAATATTATAAATTATTATGCACCTTTACTTAATACTTCTATCGTTCTACACACGTCTAGATTATTGATGAATAGTTTAATCAACCCGTATAATAAAAAAAACATTAATCGTTTTGAACTATCAAATAATTATTATCCGATTCCTGCGATCTGCGCATAAATGTACATTTTCCTTGAACTTTAAATGTAAGATATATCTATAATATATAAAATCAAAACTATTCATTGTGTCGTATTATTTATTGTTCGTAAGACAAATGGTAAAATATGAAATTATGCTTTCTTATTTTGCTCAGCAGAATATTTTAAATGGCGTATATTCGCGTATAAACATCTAGACGTTCAAACGATTACGCAATGACTGTAAAATAACGTACCTATTCGAATTAAAACTTTAGCGACATTGACGATTTTGATTTATTAAATATGCATCAGATAAACCACCAATAAATATACCTAAACTATGATACATTTTAAGGTGCGTGTAATATAATTTTTTACAGACCAGACAAATTCCCGTGTAAGTAATTGGTATTTTTACACTCACTGACAACTTCTGGTTTTACACGTTTCGTCAGCATCGGAATAATTATTAACATGCTATAAATTATAGGCTGCTACCAATATTGATATATGTAAATTATAATTATTATATGCGTGTAAATTGTGTATAGATAATATGTAAAATTTAACATAAATAATTTCGATGGTTATTTTCAAAAGCAATTTGATTCAATCGGTTGTATTAAAATGTATTGTACTAGTTTCCGTTCAAATATAAATAGTTATAATGCCCGACACGTAGTTAAATATTCGAACATAGAAATGTGAACAAAAATTATAAGTATAAAAAAAAAACCCCGTGATTAATAATTCTATAATTTGTAAGTTGATTAAAAAAATTGATTCAGAGATAACATTTTTAAAATATAGGAACAAAATACAGGAATTTATAATAAATTAAATAGGTTGCTTATTATATTTTATAATAATAAAATATACGTCTGTTTGGATTTTTCATTAACTAGTTGAGTGCTTAATATAACTGCTTATTCATAAAAAAGATTTATTGTCGTCGTTTATATTTTCTTTTTCGTTGCTTACTTGGTTCATTTTTTGATGCGACGGCAGGTGTAGTGTCTTGTAGAGTTTGTTTATTGGAAGCCATTAAATTGATAAATATAGATAAGTATCTCATAATATTATGTTTAAATATTTTAATATTTTTAGTAGTAAAAGTTTGTATTTTAATTAGTGAACATACGAAAATAAAATTCATTATTTATATATTTATTTGAAACTCGTAACATAGTATTTTTAAAAGCATGTATGAATGTTTCTAATACATTAATACATCACCATAGTTAACTCACCAATCCGTAAAGAAGATCATTTATAAAATTAAACGTTAAAATTTCTATAACATTTTTTACTTTACTTACATTTTGACTTAAACTGTTTTATTTTTTTATGTTTTTTACACTTAAACTGTAAATATTAATTTTGTTGAACACGAATTGGCTAAATACTAACAGTAGAGTAGATAAATATATTATACTGTATTCTTATTGTAATTTGTAATCATTAATTTTTTTATAATTTATTTATTAAGAAAAAAAGCTTTAACATCAATAGGTCATTATTTTGCAATTTTATTTCATTTACATTGACATTTAAATTATGATTATTATCATAACTATGAATAGAACTCGGGTATTTAAAATTTTAGATTTATTGTCATACATTTTATTTTTTAATTAGGTTATTTACATGTCATTTTGTTTTGTTATGAAATTTTAGTATTGATCCTGACTTGATTATAAATAAATACCATGTACCCAAGTATTTTCAAATTTTTATCGATCATCATTTGATCGGAAGTTGATAAAATTCGATAAACATGGATTTATTATATTCATAGTTTAGTATAGTGTACAACGTATCATCAGTATAGTCGGTTGTTTTTCACGAACAAAAATTTGAAACAACGTAGGTATAATGAAATGTAAAACTTAATACAAACTGGCCACTTGCTCAATCTCTGTAATAGCTGATGTTTTCTGTTCGAATGTAAATTCTTTCGTAGTCAAGTCTATTATGGAATAAGTACGCGTAACATAGATTCAATGACCTCTAGCTGATTATTCGTAGTAAACTAATATTATATTCCAAAGTTATCTGCTGTGATGGCGCTTAAGTAGATCGAGGCTTCAGAGATCTATATGTATACTGAAAGGTGATATATATTAATTATGTAAGGGAGAATATAGGGGAAGATTCATGTAATGCATTTTTTAGTAGGTAGGTATTTCACATTCTACGTTTTTGTTTTTATTTCTTTCATCCAATACCAATGGCAGTGAAGTATATTTTAAATTGTGTTATTTTTGTTTTTAAATGATTAAGGTTTTTGGTTTAAACGTATCTAATTAGTCGATAGATTGCATGTCCACTTCATGATTTAAAAATAACTAATTCGTTTGCCTCTCGTATTAATATAACTGTTAGATCCTAATTCTTATTATAATCTATAAAAATTGATTTTTATGCCAATAAAATGTACAATAGTGTTTACGATTGGTAATAATAAATTCAAGGTCATCCAGGGGCAAAAATTACTTTACTCAAAATAAAGATAGGTACTACACTTTTTGGGTGTGACCCAAATCACAATTGATCACGAATATAATACACATTGAGTTTTAGATACATATTAATATTATATTATAGATTTACCGAATATTTTATATCAAGTGTATAATTTGCAGAAGCTAGAAATATTGAGATGTTTTCTTGGAATTACCACTAATCACACGTCTATAATTTCGTCATTTAATGTGCCTCCTCACGTTTCTTTTCGATGGTTAAACGCCATAACCAAAATTACAAAAATTCTTAAATCTCTCTTGATAGAGTCAAAAAAAACTTTGCCCCTCCAAAATTTGCAGCGTGTATATTCGTACCCACGAATTACTGTTAATTATTTATGATGCGAATTTTCCATTGGAAGTATAAGTGTATGATACACGCGACGTCACATTATATCAAATGGCGTTTTCCATACCGGTTTAACCCGTTGGCGGTTAATAACAAAACAATAATAAAAATTCGCATCGTATATATAAAACTGTTAGACGGCAATTGGCTCTCAGTTTACCGTGCCAATATCGGTATACGTAGACGTATACCGGCGCTCAATATTTTACAGCATTAGAATATTACAGACAAACGTTGTGCGTCGTATCAGTAAGTCGAGAAATCGATTTCGCCTATATGAAATTTCGATTTGTTTATCGTTAGTATTGTTCGACATGAAAACAATTAGCGAATATTAATAATAATACAAGTATTGTCGTACCTATACAATTACGAGGAATACCACTGCTAACGATCGCATACCAGAAATATTGAACCAGTGAGTACTTACACGACTATACTTGACATAATAGTTTTATTATTACAATATGCTTGGATAAAATTGTATGGCATATTTCTGTGCCAAACTTTTATGAAAAAAATATTCGACGTGGTAAATAAAATCTTTAAAATAAATTCGTGAACCAGTCTAGGGTATATAGTTATTATATGAAATTCGAAAACCTATATAAAGTATTTTAAATATCTAATTTTATTAAAAATCTAACTAGCAAAATACCTATATAATTATAACCATGTTCAAGTACAAAAATATTTCATTGTGGTATAGATAGCATTAATCACTTTGTGTTTATAAAAATTTATCATCAACATACAATTTAATAGCGTAAATGTATACAGATTTTAAGAAAATAATAATTGAAGGACAAATTTATGAATAACGTAAAAAAAATCTATAAAACTGGTTTGTGATATCAATTATGAAGTTTTCACATGGATCAATTTGATAAAAATTTCAATCCGATATATTTTAATATATTTTTCTGTTTATTAGTCTGTAGTACTTTATAAACCACTCGATAATAAATTATCGAACCCAACTTTATCACTTGTGACATTAAATCTAAGTAATAAAGGTCTGATACTCTTATTTTTATTATAAGTTAAATGAAATGAAATTTAATAACATTCTAGTTCAACATCATCAAACACTCAATGTGTACTTTATTTGCCTATTATTTACGCCGTACAGTTATTCAGATTACCTATAGGTTATAAATATTTTTACGTTGTTGATAATTTAAAATTATTAATTTATTATATCTAACTATATTTGTAATTAAATCGTATTACCATTAATGGGTTTGGTAACTTTATGTAACGATTTTTCTAATATTAGCAAGTTTCTCAGTAGTAAACTAGTAGAAGATAATGTACATTGATTGATACTAGAGATTTCTATCTATGATAGTTGTACGAATAATAGGTATGAGTGAATTTTTTCTCGAAAAACTATGAGTTAAAGTAGTTGAGTTATATGTTTGTACATTTTTTGTATTTTTACTATATTTTTACCTGTATAATCATTGCTTAATTAATGGAATTCATCATAATAATAAGTAAATTGAATATTTTATTTTTAAGAAAAAAAATTGTATATAAAATATTATATTATAAACGACTAACTTTATGTGTTATATGATAATAAATAATTATATAATAATCATTCATCTGTAGTGAATCTGCTAAAAAAATCATAAATATTGTTATTCAATCACTTTTATTATCTTAAATAGTTAAAACTTAAAAAAATAAATACATTTTAAAGTAGTTTTTAATGAGCAATATATTATACTTGTATAAATAAACATTGTTTGTTTGATTATAAGGAAGTAATTATATTCATTTTTATAATGCAATCAATAATATAATAATTTTCTTTCATTTTCAGTATAAACATGAGAAAAGTAAAGTGTTTTGTTATTTTAGTATGCATGTTTGGAATGGCAGTAGCTCAGTCCAACAGTGGTAAGTCATTTTCAATAATATATTAATATATTTTTATTCCTACATAACTTTTTTCTTCTAATTTTGAGCATTTTTTTTCATTTTACCGCCTATGCTATCGTTTATACATTTTTGTTGACATTTATCTTATTTAGTACTATACTATAACATTTTAGATTTAAAGGAGAGTATATCACGTTGTATTAGTTTTACAATAGCGTTTTATTTTTTTTTTTATATCTAAACCTCTTTCATAACAGAAAAAAAATTGTTTTCAATATTTTTATTGAAAAGAATTTTTGTTAGAATTTGAAAGAGTTAATAGGTAGTAAAAAAATGTCAAATATAATATTTATCAAAACAAACGGAAAAACTGAAAAAAAAATATGAAAGATGGGAATATATACTGTTATTTATACAATGAGAGTTTTTAACAAAATCAATCTTGTTTCATATTATAATTCGAAAATTAATTACTGTAGAGACATACATTTTTATCAACATTTTATGGGTTTTTAATATTTTTAGTAGAATTAAAATGTTATATGTATAGTTTACAAACTATAGTTTGTTGGTAGTTTAATAAACTACGTTCGTTAACATAACTTATCACTCGCTAAGATTTTTCATTCGTTATACCTAGCATGATGAATATAAATATCATCACCATTCACCAGCACTAGAAATAATTAATCGTCACAATGATAACACTAATATTTGTTTTTATTCTCATCAACAGATTGCAATACTCCAAATTTTGAAAAAGGTGTTTGTGTCAATATTAAACGCTGTCCAAAGTTACTAACTCTATTAGAAAATCAAAGACAAGTGCCGTCTGTTTTAGTCTTTCTTAAGAAATCTTTTTGTGGATTTGAAGGCAAAAATACAAAAGTGTGCTGTGCTTTAGAAAATAATGTTGCACCGTTTACACCAAATGCAGTGGAACAGACTGGGGGCATTGGTTTGGGTTTAAATTCAAAAATACCATCGGAAACAACGTGTGGAATAAGCAATGTCACCCGCATTCGAATCATTGGAGGAAACCCAGCAGAATTAGGTAAGAATTTCAGAATTAATTCAAAATTAAAAATTAATTTGTTTATAACATAACTACTGATCAACATTATTATTACGCTATTTATAACATCATAACACACATAAACCATATGTATAATGTACTAGATTAAATTTAGTATGTAGATGATTGATGGTTAAAACAATAAGTTATCAACTGAATCATTATAATAACTATAAACATATTATATTATTGTTTAGGAGCTTGGCCTTGGATGGCAGCTCTAGGCTATCAGGGTACAAATAAAAATAACCGTGCATTACAGTGGCGTTGCGGTGGTACATTGGTAACAAAAACACACGTGCTAACAGCCGCGCACTGTGTTTATAATATTAATAATGCAAGATTGTAAGTGAATTGATCAAATTTCCGTGTAAATAATTAAAATTTTAAATCTTACTCCTATTGATAGTATGAACAATTTCATTTTTTAGGACTACTGTACGATTAGGTGAATTGGATTTGGATCCTAATGTCATAGACAATGCAAGACCATTAGATGTTCCAGTTGAACGTATCATTATTCATGAGGGATATAACGGAATTAAGATAGTCAATGACATAGCATTATTAAAATTAAAAAATAGTGTAACTTTTAATGGTGAGTTTTCAAATAATTTTGTTGTTCATTAATCAGTTGTAGTAAAAGTAAAGCGACCACTGTATAAAAGTCTTAAAACATGTGTAAAGCCTAGTAAGTAATAGAAGATAAATGTTTATAGCGTTGAAAAAAGAAATAATAATATTGTCGTTTTGATGCATTTTGGTGTATAATATATACATTATATATTTTGTTTAGAATTAATACAACCTATATGCATGCCAATGACTTCAAATATGAAACGGATAGATATGTCGAGAAGTTTGCCATTTGTTGCCGGTTGGGGTACCACTGTTCCTACGGCTACTTACAGTAAGAGATAGTAAGAATTTATTTAGGTAAATTTGTTCGGTAGAAAAACTAATCAAATATCGAAAACTCGATGTATTTTTATAAACCTTATTTTTTCTACTGTTTTTATTAGACGTTTTTGAACCAATAATTTTGTCCTTAGTTGAGTGTAAAAATTGAGTTCATGGGAAAAGAATTATAGGAGTATGAAAATAATATACTCTATTTTTAGAGTGTGTTATTAGGTTTATATGTACAATTTATTTTTCGTGAACTGGGTATTGTTAGTTCATACTAAAATATAACTTTATATAACATTCTATATTTCATTAAGATTATAAAATGTATAAAATATCGATAATGGTGACCGCCAATAAATGTCATTCATTAAAAATTAGTAAAATTTATAAAAAAAAATGTTATTATTTAGGTGTTCCACCCGTAACTACTTTGATGGAAGTTCAAGTTCCAATAACGAACAGTCAGGAATGTGAACGTGTTTATTCAAACGAACCTGCTTCAGTAATTGATGATAGAGTATTATGTGCTGGATATCCAGAAGGAGGAAAAGACTCATGCAGGGTAATTTACTCATTCGATTGCATACAGAAAAAAAACATATAACTTACTAATTTTTAATTGATTTCAGGGTGATTCAGGAGGTCCATTAATGTTTCCAAAAGGAAAACAATTTTATTTGGTGGGTATAGTTTCTTACGGATATAAAAAATGTGGTGAACCAGGATATCCAGGCGTCTACACTAAGGTAGCTTCATTCATGGATTGGGTTGTTGATAAAATAGGTAAAAATTGAGTTCCATAAATGCATAACTCATAAAGTCATAACTTTCTTAATAATTTTCATATTTCTCTGCGCTATGAAGGCATTTTGAATGATTAATTAATGTGATTATTCTATGAAAATTTCAGTCTGTAATTTGTTTTATTATATAATTTATACGAAATATTGGACTTTTTTTTATCCATGCTAATAAAAGAAAGATACAGAAAATCCTATAACTTTTAGTGTTTCAATTTTAATATTAGTAAGCTTGGACTCTTTTACTTATATGTAACAGCTAGGGTCATCATTCAAATAAACATCACTTCTGAATATAGTAAAGTGTCTATTTAATTCTTTAAGTTAAGTTTTACTGTAAAAAATAAATATGTATTTACATAAAATAAATATAAATGTATATATATTTTTTAAGTACATACAAACCAAGAGAAGTTGCGTTATACAGTTTTTAAACAATACATATTTGGATAGACATCGTGTTCTATACTTGTATATATAAGTAACATAAAATGTTGAGATTGTGTTTTGACTTCAACTTCGATAACTTGAACATTTATTTAACACTTGTTTTACTACTTTTAGTTTAAACTTTAATTCGTATATGTTATTATTCATCTATATTAAACGTAAACTAAAATTTAAAAAAATACGTTGAAGTCAGCAATTTATTATTTAATCGTAGAAAATATAAAAAAAATATGACATTCATTATTTGATTAATTGTTTTAATATCAATCGAGTGCTATTTAATTAAGTACCTTATAAATGAAATAGAAACTTTTTTTAAGTCTATTACTCAAAAGCACTTAATTGACTTGACCAATTTCAAACTTAATGTAGACAATTTGGATTCTATCAAGTAGAAGATTAAGATATACAAACAAATATAATAAGGCAATTGTATAAGTACGTCCAAATTTAATTAATTAAAATACTTCGTCAGTGAATCAATCGGTCAGTTTTCAATGATTTATATGTATGTTTACTAGTAAAGTAATAAAGTCTCGTCTTATCAATGACGATCACAACAATAATATGTGAGAATTATTATTTTTATTATTATTACTGTTTTATTTATATTACTCAGAAACATTTCAATAATTTCTTTCAAATAACATTACTTCTTTGTTATAAATTCATTTACTCTATAGACTTCTATCCTTTGGATACAAGAATACAAGAGACTAACCTTACTTTAAGTAGGTACATAAGTAAGTTATCATAATAACACAGTTACCAAATATGAGGTTTTTTTATGTAACTAACATATAAATGTTTCAATTACCATACTATTATACACAATGAATCATTACCTCAGATATATTATAACAGTATTAACACTGACTTTATTATCTAAGTAATAAAATAAAGGTAGAAAATTCGGTATTCCAAACCCCATCAATTATGCTTCAATAAAGAATTTACCTATGACATCTGCATTAATATATTAATAGAATATATAATTTCATAAATATGAATGTTATTAATATGATTTGTATCTATTTATACTGTTTTATGGTAGGTATTTACAGAAAGATTTTATTACATTTTAAGTTTTATAAGATAATATAATATGCTAAAAATTTACATTATTTTAATAACATAATAAATTTAATATATTTGGATAGATTTATAGCAATCTATACCGTTATATTAAAAAAAAAAAAAAAAAAAAAAAAAAAATGACTTTAATAGCAATATCGAAAAATCATTTTATGAAATTACTATTATATTATCATACTTGATAGGAAGACAGACCATTTCCACTCGGAATCATTGTTTGTATACAACGATATATCAATGAATTCAAATTTAACAAATTCATTCAAGTGATTAACCCGACACCAGCTATAGCGGTACTCACTTGTCTACCATTTTTACAGTATTAAATCCATGACATATTCAAATAATCGTGCGTCATTAAAACTGATTAAGTATACAACTAATTATATGTACCTCTACTATACTTAAGATGTCAGCGGACAAATTTTTTTCTATCTCTGACCCACCAACAACACAAAAATATTGTGTTCAAAAAATCCAATCTAGTATTATTACCTTTAATATTACAATGAATTTGATTTATTATAAAATTTAAAAGTATTTATATTATTTAGAGTATTTCAAAAATTTTAATTTTAAATTAAAGTATGATTATTTAAAATTGTAATATTTTATATAGTTATAACCAACTTTTTAATTTAAATAATAAATATTAATAAAAACAATATTCTTGCTTTAAATAATATTATTATCTATAAATTTGATTATAAGTTAATTCATTTTAATTTTAAAGTGAACACACACATTTGGACCCGCACTAACATATACAGATACATATCACATACCTTCATAATATGAATGGTGCATCATCTATTTATCTGCTTTAAAATGTTATTCATTATTTACGCATTAATATATCGAATAATAGAAAGAATAGAAAATTTAATAATATTGTTTTAACTGGTAATTTATAATAATAAAAATAAATATGTATAAATAGTAAAAACGGCAATATACTGTATATATTAATGTGCTTAACGGCCTAAATATCCTTTTAACCACAGCTGTTATACACCAATACGTTATTATTTTGTGTTAATTACAGTTAGTCACTCATACCTTTAATTATTAAATTTTGTCATGTTCTTGGATGGTATACATTTTTAAACAAAAATACCTACTAATAATATTATGGTATATATTTTCAAGCAAAAATTTAAAAATTAAATATTATAAGTATACATTTTTAAGCTTACAGTTTTAAATTAATTTATTCTCTTTAGGGTCTTCTTAATTTTTTCCAGTTATATTGTTATGACTAATTGACGTATTAAAATTTTACCTAAAGTAATACATACAATGTGAAAACGATATATAATCTGAAAACTGAATGATACACAATTATCTCACAAAAATGGTCTAAAACTTTAAATGACAATAGCGGTGCATAAATGATATACGATATAATCGAATAACGATGAACATTCGTACACGAATATATAAGAATTATGATATCTGTCTTTATGTAATATGGATAGATATTTTTTTTGTAATTTAAACAAATATTTTAATCAGTTGTTTCATCACACAAAATACAAACACATTTTGCGTTCTTAATCTTAAATATTATTATGTTACTTAAAAAATTATTTGTACATATTCCATTGATAAATTCTTTTTGTATATATTAATGGACTTGTATAATTTATTGAAACGTTATATAAAATTTTATAAAAATATAAAACATTTTATCACATATAGCCTTAAAATATTGAAAATCTATTACTGTACAGTAATATCTGAGAAAACTAATCACTTAAAATTAAAATTAATTTAAATGCATTTAAAATGGTCGATAATTTTTTAGTTTTTTTTTTTTTTAGATTGACGTTAAAAACATTTGTTAGTTAAGATCTTGAATATTTAATATAAGGTTTTATATATGTTTTTCTAATAGTAATTAATTTCAAAATATGTACAATACATTGTTAAAATATTTTTTTATGACCACCTATATCAAAAAAATATATCGAGACTTTATTATCTAAAAATAATCATAACCACTCCTTAAATACTCGTCTACCCATACGTGCAGAACTTGCTATTCAAGGTAGTATTATATATTAGAGTCATCATATGGCAGCTTCTTGCATACCAGTTCTGCTTCATACTCGTTTTCAGTTCCGATGTATACGTATACGCAGATTTGGATCGTCTCATTTTATAGTAAGTTATTCATATTCTATACCTGTACAAACGCATTGTATAAACGTCTAATTAAAATATATCATTGACGTTGCCCATAGAACGGAAGAAAACCATCGATTCAGGTATAATTTACTTTTTCAATTAATTTTAAATCCTTCGACTATATGATCTCAAGTTTACTTCAGTGACTCTTCAGATAATGACTGATAAAATATTATAAAAAAAAAAAAAAAAATATTTTCTTAAAATCTTTATTGTGACATATTAAGTTTTAATCAAACATTTAGATTGAACTAATACTTTGCATATAAATTGGGTTTAATAGCTTATGGAATTTTACAATATATTTCAACCTAAGATCAACGGGAATAACAGTGATTTGAGTGTTATTAGTGTGAAAACTAGGTATACACTTTTAACATTGAATGTTAAAAAAGTAAATTTTACCTATCTATAACGAAACTTTACATTTCTTTTAATTTATAATTATTACTAAAATTCAATGTTTTCGATATTTATGTTAGTAAAATTCAAAAATGTATTTAAATCGATTGTATGATAACATTTTGAAGAACGATGAATCATTAATAGAAGCAAAAACAACTGGTTTGCAATATCCTCATATATAATACATGCAAATATTGAATGGTAGGTATATCAGTATATTCCGGTATTTGTATAAAATAACTGTACAACGTAAAAAATTTTTTCAAAAAATTTTTCTTTTAATATTTTTTATAGAAGGTATTATTATAACTGAACGTAAAAATTATTGAAACGTTGCCATTTTTTTTATGTATGAGAATATACAAATATTTTAATGTAATTTTTTATGAAAAAAAATGTTTGTTGGCTTTCATTTATTTGTTAAGGATTTGTCATATTTACCTATGACATATGCTAGATGATGAAAAACATCATAAATTAATGTTTGTATATTTTACACTGTATATCTAACAAAAATATGACAAATAAATATGCCTTAACTTGTTACCAATAAATTATTAAGTTAACTAAATTTCAATTAATTTTAGATTCCGAGCTAAACAAAGTTTTGATCGCAAAAACTTGAAATATTCCACAAGTAATTAAATTATTATTTTCTATACACAGTGTAATTTTCAAAATATTTATACTAAATATAAATAATAAATAAATAAATAAATAATAATAATAATAAATTAATGCAAGTTTATTTTTTGATGTTTTACCTCTGTCAAAAAATCTGTGAAAATGTAATAAAAGTAGTTTTTATGATAAGAAATGTATAAAATGTTTGATTTTTAAAGCTTAAGCTAGACAATTTAATAATAGACTTCTTATAAATAGTTTTTACTAAAATTTAAAAATTATAAAAATAAATAAATTTTTTTTATAAATATGTGATTAATTGTTGATAAAATTTGATAGTTATTAAAAACAAAAAACAAGAATTTCAGTTATATTTTGTTATAATTTAAAAATTGTACTTGAAATTTTCACGTATATAATCAAAAATTATATTTTACTATACGAAATGATGTTTTTAAAATATTTAATGTAATTTTAAGCTTTATCTTATTATACCGTATTATTAATATAGTAATAAAAATTGCTGTAGTAACAATATAAATATGTAATGAAATATATTTAATAATATTGGCTGACAGATTAATTTATCAATCAATAGACCGTCTTTGAACAGAATCGTTTTTCGTATAGAATGATTTATTATTGAATTCAAATTTAACATATTATCCATTATAATAACTTACTCAATGACGAGGGCATTCACACGCTTGTTCTATGGTATAGTGCTTAATGCTTACTTACTTGTCCCGTTTTTTAGTTTATACTCTTACAAAGAGATAATGATTAAAAATAAAACTTAACGTCAAAATATGTAATAATACTTTTAAGAAATTAGAATTTATCCTCCTATTATAAAATGTATGATTTTCGTTATTCACATTACAAAACAATAATTTATGTTTTTGCAGTTTTAACATGAGGAAATACCAATATTTTATTTTTATGATATTTATAACCAGAGTGATCACTGCATATCCTAATAATGGTAAGCTTATTTTTAATTTTATAAAGGTTATATGAGCTTTTAAGTCAATTTCAAATGTAATTATTGGTTTTTTTTATGACTACAGTATGCCATACACCAAACAATGAAAACGGCGCTTGTATTGATATTAAGCATTGCAAAAAGTTATTAGTGCTGTTGGAAAACCAAAGACAAATTCCATCTGTAATAACTTTTCTGAAGAAATCTTTTTGTGGACATGAAAATGGTATTACAAAAGTATGCTGTCCTTTAGAAAATACATTTTCAGATGAATCAAAACCAAACAACATAAAAGAGTCTTCAATTAATAAAAAAATTAAATCATCAAAATTACCATCACAAGAAACGTGTGGACAAAGTTTTTCTGTTGACAATCGAATTTTTGGAGGGAGAAAATCTGTATTAGGTTTGAACTTAATTGAAATATTTAAATGAAATTTATTTGAATTGATTTAATATGCAAATACTTGTACTATATTATATTTGTAAGATGACTGAAACACATTGTGAAGTAGAAAATAAATACAATAAACTGATATTGAACAATTTTATAGGTTCTTGGCCTTGGATGGTAGCTATGGGATACCAGGATTTAAATGAAAATAGTCAAGAATTACATTGGCTATGTGGTGGTGCTTTGATCACAAATACACACGTATTAACAGCTGCACAATGTGTAACTAATCCAAATACTGTTAGGTTGTAAGTAATTATATCATAGTTTATATGCGTCAATAGTAATTTAATACTACACAAATTCATTCACCTGATATACAGTATTTTAAACGTATACATTTTTTTAATCTTAATATTTTAGAACAGTGGCACGCTTAGGAGATTTGGATTTGGATTTTAAGGTTAACGATGGTGCGACACCGTTAGATGTTCCCATAGAAAATATTTTAGTGCACGAAATGTACAACTCTCGAGACAACACTAATGACATTTCGATATTGAAATTAAAAAACAGTGTTACCTATACTCGTAAGATTTGGTTAAAAAGTCATTAATAATCACCGCATCAAAGTAAATTTTTAATGTGATTTTGTGTATTCGTTTTTTTTTTTAATTATTATTATTATTTATACATAAAATCGCTATACAAAATGTATATTATGTATTTATAATATCGTGTACTGTTTATCTATTAAACATAATATTACCACCATAAAATTTAAATAAAACTTGAACGCATACTTATATTTTATTGTATTTTTTGAGCAGAATTCATTCAACCAATATGCTTACCAATCCAGTTTGATATGAACCACGTCAATATGACTAAGCTATTTGTTGCAGGCTGGGGTTCAACGCAGCAATTTTTTCTCTCCAGTAAAAATACATTAACATTACCTACCATAAACTATACAATCTATTATTAATTTTGATTAGTTTTTAATTTTTTTCTTATATTTTATTAATAATGTTATTCCAATTATGAACTCGTAAACATTTTTCTTTCATACATAAATTATTTGACCATAAAATCCACTGTATTTGACAGGACGTTTGTTTTTGGTTAATCATTAAGTATCATTTAAATTTAATTAATTGTTATAATATATTTCATACGATTCGGAAAAAAAATAATCAAAAGTTATTATTATACATAAATTGTAAATAAATAAATTCTAATTTTTTTTTTAATTTTTAAGTATACGTTATAATATGTAGATATTATTTCCATAGTTAAATTAAAATAATTTAAATCAAGAGTTAATTAAAAAACAGTTATAGATCTTATAATAATTTGCATGTATTTTATAATGATATTTATAATAGGTATTTAATATTAATCAAATAAATTTGTTGCCTTTATCTCTAGAGTATTACGTTACAATTATCACATTGGTATGTATTGAATAAAAATATTGGTTTATTTAGGTGAATCGCGCAATACTGCCATGATGGAAGTTCAAATTCCATTAATGGACATAAAGAAATGTAAAGAAGTGTATGCCAATAGATACAACACGATTGATGACCGAGTTCTATGCGCTGGATACCCGGAAGGAGGAAAAGACTCTTGTGGAGTATTTGACTTCTTGTTTTGTAGATATAAAATATATTCGTCTGCTTATTTCCGATTTATTTTAGGGTGATGCTGGAGGTCCTTTAATGTGGCAAAAAGAAAATCAGTACTATCTATTGGGAATAGTTTCTTATGGATTTGTATCGTGCGGTGAACCAAATCATCCAGGAGTATACACCAGAGTAACATCATTTATTGATTGGATTGTGGAGAAAATAAACAATAACTGATTTTTATTATAACTAAAAACCTTAGTACTACTTCTTTAACTGGTTAAAAGTAAACTGTGGTTAAAACGTATTTAATAATTCTATAGTGAGTAGACTACATGATTATACGACATATTATAAATTTTACCTGCAAAGTAAGACGCATATTATATATTTTATTATTAACTAAGCTAATTTTACAACTGGATGACATATGTCTAATAACAATTATTATTTTATGTAATAATTCTTATCTGAATTTAAATAATATTATGTTCGTAATATTTATGTATTTGAATGATAATATTTTTTTTGTTTTCACAAAAATATTTTTTTAATTTGAGATTAAAATTCAATTTATTTGAGAACAGGAGTTTTTTAGGTGCTTAAGATGGGTAAAAATAATGCTCATATAGTAATATGTTATAACTAATATACAATACTTTTTTTAAATTCATTACGTAACATAAAAGGACCAAAATATGTCCTTTTTAAATAAGATTGTTCATTTATTGAGTATCATATTATGCCCATTAAATTTTAATCCATTTATCCTCATATTATTATAAGTGTGTAAAAGGAAAATAATACTTGAATGCAAAACAAAATTTAGTGAATAATATCTTAACAGTTTTTTATTGAGTTATTGAAACCAAAATTAATAAATAATATAAACAGTTTTAGAACTATAAACGTCAAGTGCAGAAAAACTTGAGATATATTGTATTGGAATATTACATAGTGTAAATATTATGAATCTTTACAACCGTCATCATTTTTAATAACAAACCTTATCTAATAAACAAATATTATCTGCTAAATATATTAAAAAATATAAAAATTCTTATACTGTTTTTGGAGATATATATTTTTTTTTTAGAGTGCAGCCAAATTAATTGTTTGTCTATTTTTTTTTTATAAATATGATTACTTTAAATACAATAAGTTATTACCTAAACATTAAAGATTGAACTACGTTAGCTCAAAGACTAAATATGCAACGGTCAACAACACAAATAAAAAACAGGTTTTTATATTTAATAACATTATGAGTATGAGTATATTATTATTTTAATTACAGCAAGGCATTAACGGCAGAGTTATGCTACAATTTTTTTCACATATTTTTTTACAGCTTGGAGATTTATTACATCTAAACTTATTAAAAATTTTAAAACTACATGTTTTACCATATAAAAATACCAGATAGATCGTGTATACAAATTGCGTTTTAACGCGTAAAATAGATTATATCTATATCCAATATAAGTTTTTTTTTTTTTTTTTTTATGCAGGTATATTTTCTTTGTCTAGTAATAGTTTTTTTTTAATTATTATTAAAATATATTTACAACCTGTTATTTAAAACAATAAGTTATAGTTTAGAAAAACATTTTTATCATAATAAGCACATGAATAATTTGTGGAGAGAGTTGTTCATTAACAACACCTCAGAATGTTTTTTTTTTTTAAATTTTTTTTCAAAGCAAATCTCTGGACCAATTTTGCTTTAGACGACGTTTAAAATTATCAGGGAAAGATAAGGAGGACATGTTGCTGATGAGTGGATTTAGGTGGTTTAATAATTTAATGTGGAAACGTTTATATTGGTTTTTAGCAAATTCGTTGACGGTGAGTATTTTAAGGTCTTTATGAAGTGATGCATTGATAATAAATCATGGAGTTCCGGTTATCATTCTAAGGGTATTAAATTGAAAGGCTTGGATAGGACGTATATTAGATGGCTTTGCAGAACCCCAAATTTGTATGTCATATGACCAAATTGGTCTAATTATGGCTTTATATATAAGGGTTTTAAATTTGAGCTGAATTTTGGATTTTAGAAGTGGTCCGAGTTAGTGAAGTCGTGTATTTGCTTGTTTACGTTTGTATTTTGTATGTTAGATCCAAGTGAGACGCTTGTCAAGCATAATTTCTAAGTATTTTATAGAGGGCTGAATTGAGATTGTTTTGTTGTTTATTTGAAGTTGAGTGCATTCTTAAGGACTTAAAGAGAAATTTACTTGGACAGATTTATTTTTATTGATTTTTATGTACCATTTTTTAGCCCAATAATTTATTTTATTTAGGTGTGGTTGAAGAGCATTGGCAGCAGAGATGGGATCTTTTTTAGACGCTCGAATCGCAGTGTCCTTTGCAAAGGTAGCCAGTACGGTGTTAGTCGACATAGGTATATCGGGTGATAATAATTATAAATAAATTAATGATTTTTCTTTACTATACCAACCTAATTTTAATCATTTAAGTTTTTATACATGTTAAAATTTTAATAGAATATTTTTAAGCAAATTATTCAGTATTGAATTTCAAAATACAATTATTTCGATGCAAAGAAATCAAAAATCGATTTAGTTTGGCAATACGTTGTGTAGTGGCATCTGATTTAAATATAAGCATAATAAGAGTATATTAAGTACATTATGATTGTTTAGTACTTATATTGACGATCTAAAAGCCAGAAGTAATGTCACTAAATTATACTTATAAAACTAGTTATAAAAACCTACTTATAAGAACTTTCATAAAGAAAAATGACTTTTATAGTGGAATAATTAACAAATAAATGACGAAAACAGTAATTAAAATCTATATTCATATTAAAAAATATATATTATCATTTACGATGATGGTTAAATTTTAAAGTAATTTAAACTTCGATTGCAGTATATTATTTTTTGTTACCATATTACCATGCGTAAGTACGTAGTATATTAATAAATACATGTACCTAATTAAATTATTATTATTACTAAATTATTATATTGAAAAAAAATTAGAATGTTTGTAAAATAAGTCTGTTGATAAAGCGTAAAATTCGTAATAACATGAAAAAGATTACAAGAACAATTACTGAATAATAATAAATAGTTACTTATAATATTATATTTATATTATTTAAATAAAAAAAAGTAAAAAAAAAAAATACTTAAAATATTTTATTATACTTTAAGAATTATTTTATATATTTTTATTTATAAATAGCTTTTGTGCCTGTTCATTTAAATGTATATTTTATGTATAATTTTATTGAAATATTTATTTTGGTTCAAAAATTTCCATAGAGCTATATAAACTAAATGTGTAAGATAACTATATTTACTAGATTAAAAAATAAAACGATGTAATAATATTCGCTAGTTAGGTATTCTTAAATTATTATTTTATATAATAAGTAATTCAATTATTGATAAATAGTATTTTTATTGTTTTGAATTTGAATAACTTTGAAAAATAATGTATTTTAGATTCTTTGCGGAGCAAGAATGTTTTGATTTTATAATAATAAATTTTTAATTTTTGTTGTGTATAATATGTATATCACAATAAGTTACCGAAAAAAGGCTTCTATTGTCAAATTTAAAGATATTTTCGTGTAGTGAATTGAGTCTAAATATTATACTATAAAAATATAAAAATTACCAGTATTCTTCAAAATAATTGGAAAAAAAGAATATTTTAAATAACGGAATTTTTACGCAAATACAATTTTTGACAAAGTTGATTCTTTTTTCGGTAAAGCGTGGAAACGAAAAATCTATACTGTACCTATTATAATCTTACAAGTATCATAACAATAATATAATCCTCGGTTAAAGTTTATTACTTTTTAAAATTATAAATTACAAAGAACAGAAACAAGGAAATGAGTAGATACGCTCATGTAATTTTATCTTATTTTATTTTATTATTTTTATAATATATATTTCGTAGAACTTAAAACTAAATACAAGGTTGATATAATGTATATAATATATTGCCTGTTAAACTATTTAACTATAGTTAATATACAATTAGTTAGTTTAGCTGACAGATATTTTTCATTTGAAATCTATCATAATATCTAACAATAAAAAAAAAAAAAAAAATGAAAAATTATTTTCATTTCAATTAACTACAATAACTAAAAATGGTTTTAAAAATGTAAGTTTTCGTTAATAAAACTTCTTGAAAATATAACTAAAATATAAAAATTAATAATAGATGATTGATCCCTCTAATAAGTAGGCACCTAGTACCTACTGTAAAATATAATGTGTTATGTTTAAGATATTACATTAAATTTGGTTTCATGACGTCATAGACTCTCAATGATATGCCTATAAATAATTAAACCTCATAATTTATTAGTACAATAATTATATTATTTTACTTGATATTAGTTGTTTATAAAGAGTATCAACATACAAGAAAAAAAATATTGTAGTAGGCTCTAACATATAGTGTTATATCTGTGGATTTTGACGTAGTAAAGGTTAGCAAGGTATTCATTAGGTATTATATCCTCTGGAGTTTAATCATTTAAATTATTCCTCCCCTCTCTAGTTATTCATAATTGCTCTCAAATTAAAATTTAGAGTTTGATCACCAGAAAAACAATTTCACCCCTCCAAAATTGCATGCGGATACCTACTTAAAATGTTCACATAGCTACATGAATCCACCAATAGCTGTTCACAATTACAGTCTGTTGTGCGTCATAAAATTTCAGACAGTATTCTTCGAAGTAGTTAACCTCGTTGATAGTTTGTAATAATTATCTTCTTTGATTTAAAATATAATCTTGTCACTCATCTGATAACAGATTTAACGCTCATTAAGAAGTATACAGATATAAAAGTGGACATCGACGGAAAAGAAAAAAACTATACAGGTATCTTATATTCTTATTTATATAGTATTCTAATTAATTATACATTTTTCAATTTCAATAAAAATATAAACAAAGTCAACGAATATATTCAAACGAATAAAGAAAACAAAGATCTTGCAAATTTTTATATACTTAAGTACTTATAAGAAAGTTTGGTCAAAGGTAGAATGGTAATTCAAAGATAAACATATAACATTTTAAACAATATTATATAGGTAGTCATAATTTCATTAAGTTTAACATTTTTATTATTTATTTTTTTTTTTAATTATTATTATTTAGTATAGAAATTGAGTAAGAATGTGTGTTGATAAAATGCTATACTATAGCATAACATATTTTATATTTATATTTATAATTTATATATAAAAAAAAAAAAAAAAAAAAACAGAGAATTAATTATTTAATAGTTACTAGTTGATAGAATTGTTTAAAAATGTATAAGGTGAATATTTTGGTTGGGTACTAAAAAATATATTAGGAAATGCGTGTCGAAATTTAATTAATCTTTAAATAATAAATTTCTCAATATAATGTTATCCACAATAAAATAGATACATATTATGATCACCAACGTTTAGATACGCACCTAAAAATCAAATACCTATTTCTTCACTTCGACTTATCTTAAATCTATACCTTAGTTCTCCATTTATTATTGAATAACATCATTATTTTATTATAATACATAAAAAAACAAAATCGACCAATCGAAAGTGGAAAATCATGACATTTTTCTGATGCCGGAGAAATGTACATAGTGATCAATGATCATAACTCATAAGTCATAAGGCATAATCAATGATAATATTTACTTACTTATTTATTTTGTGATGATGTTTTCATTTCTATTTGGAAATTGGGAAACTACTGTAGAATATATATAATATGTACTCATATTTTTATTTTTTTATTAGGTTATAAATTATAATATTCAAACTTTATTATAGAAATAATTTTTAATTACAGTTTTAATATGAAAAAAGAACAATACATTTTTTGTGTGATTTTCGTGATCGGGATGATAACGTGTCTGCCCTGTGAAAGTAAGTAAAAAATGTAGAATTTGAAAATTCCATGAAATATAAAACTATAAAATGATTATTTTGAAATTTAAAATAAAATTATAATTTTTTTTTAGTAATCTTTTATTTATATCAAAACGAGTCATTTTGTAGTGATTGTTTTCTTTAATATTTCCAACAGTTTTAAAGTATATAGGACCCAATTTTTTATATTATATGTGTCCTCATTTTAACATCGTCGATTGTGTCGCGTCGTAGTTGCCCGTTATGGTGGTTGATACGGTGCAGACTGATCGCTGTGGTATCTGCACTTTGTATTGGTAGCCGTTGCGTACCGTGTCACAAAGAATGGAGATTGTATATCTATAGAACTACGGGCTGATTTTGTACGTTTACTTTAGATTCTGAGCAGAGCGATAAATGTATTGATTTTATAATGACATATGTATTTTTTTCGTGTGTTGTATACTGTATAGTATACATCATATACACAGAGCCGCGTTTAACGGGGGGGGGGGGGCAATTGCCCCAGACCGGTAAATTTTATGATGTTTGACGGGGTGGCAAATTTTGGAGAATCAACATAAAATAAAAAATTTATAATTATAATTTTTTTTGTGTGACTGTATAACTATAATAAGTACATTGTACTGTTAGATGTGCAAACATACTTTTAATTTGACGATTTTTTTTTTGACAGTTAAAATATTATTTTGACAACATATAGTGTAATAAGAATTAATTGAAAAATTAAATAGGTAACACTATTTTTATATTAATAATGTCAGGCAAACGAATTAAATTAAGCGGTGCAGCATACAAAAAGGCGACAAAAGAAAAACTAGAAAAAAACCGATAATTTGCTCAGAAAAATTCCAAAACTTCATTCATATTTTACGCTACTGACTGTAATTAATAGTGTGTTGAATATAATTTTGAATTGTAATTTTTTTAAGGGCGGCAACATAGCTTAACGCGGCACTGCGTATACATGATAAATAGTTAAATATTGAAAAAATGCTTCGATTTCTTATTTGTAGACTAATTTCTGTTAAGAATTAAATTGAGTTGGTACTTAAAAAAAGGTCAAAATTGAAAGTTCTTAGCATTTTTCAAAATTATTGAGAAAATAAAAAAAATAAGTTTTTTAAAACGAAAATTCTTACACTAAACTAAACAATTTCGTATTTTTTGTATTACTCAAAATCAAAAACAACAGAACAGATACTTGAAATTTTCACCAGAAGTATATTATATTACCTTATTTTACAAACATGAAATATTACAATTTAAAAAAATATTGATTAATTTTGACTTATTTATCGATTTTTTAAATTTTATAGATTTTATTTTAAAATTTTCATTTATATTAAGTTTTTTTTATGGATACCAATTAGTAATAAAAAATTCCTCATAGATTGCTTATTTAATAATTAAAAAATATCAAAAATACAGTCATCTTTTTTCTTATATGTGTTTAAATATAAACTTTTGACATAACTTGTAAAATGTCAAAGAATTTAAAATTACTTTTTAATAAAAATATTTTTTTGTATAATATTTATGATTTAAAATTTTAATAAAAAATTCTTCATATGTAGTTCTAATTAAAATAACAATTTATCGGAGAGCCATATTGTTTTTAAATAATTTTAAATTTTTACAATATTGGACATTCACCAAAACAATTTATGGAAATGACCTCCAACAGGTAATACCATTTGGATAGTAAAAATATATTTTTCCAAAATTTATTTATAGATATAAAGCATGTTTTTAACATTAAAAATCAAACTTATTTTTGATAATTGCGCAAAACTTTTCCACCACAAAATAAAAATTATATAAAATAGACAAGAAAACGTATATCCAGCATTTTTTTAGTAACTTTAAAGATTGTTGATTTTTTTTCACGGTTATTATGCACGCCATACTCTAAACATGCCAGCTAGTTTTTAAAAATGCACAATACTCCTTTTACTAAAAATTAACCATACATAATTTTTACTTTTAATAATATAATATATAATAGATACCTACATATAATCATAAAATATTCAAAGGTCAATTTAAATCCAATAAATTGTGTTCTTTTTTACTAGAAAAGATATTTACAGGTTCAACTGAATCGACGGTTCAAGTAAGATTAGCCGCCCGTAATTTAGAATTCGCACCAACAAAACTAAAGGATAAAATTAATACAAATGAAAAGGATTATGCGTCTAAATTACCAGCACAAACCATGTGTGGCAAAAGAAAAGTCCCAAGCTTTCGAATACTTGGAGGAAGTGAATCGCAATTAGGTAAAAATTTGCTCGTAACCATAGGTTTTAAATACCTACATTATATTAAAATACTAAATGTTATAAAGTTTAAAAAATTTAATAAAAATCAATGACTTCATCATTATTTTTATTGAATAATTATGAATTTGCAGGTGCTTGGCCATGGATGGTAGTCTTAGGATATAAAAATTCAAATGAAAACAAAAATTATTCTATTGAATGGTTATGTAGTGGTACATTAATTTCTAATACACATGTCTTAACTGCCTCTACATGTGTTACCAATACTGGGAGAAAAGTATTGTAAGTAAATTATATTAAGTTGAATTAATTAATAATTGTCAACTGCTATTCAAATATATTTTTAATTATATTTTAAAAATATGATGTACTTGCCATAGCATTTATGAGAAACTGAGGAATACCTTTTTTTAAAATTCGTTACAGAACCGTGGCACGCTTAGGCGAGTTGAATTTGGATCCCATGGCCGATGATGGGGCAACACCATTAGATATTCTGATCAAACGTATTATAAATCATGAGGGGTATGACTCACGAAAGAAAATCAATAATATTGCATTATTGGTATTGAAAAATAGTGTTACATTTAACGGTGAGTTAATAATTAATATCATCAGATAACATTTTTATATTTTAAGCTATTGCTCTTTAATCATAACTCATAAGTTATAAGATATGTATTTAAAATTCTGGCAAAGGTTTATCTATTATATTATTGAAGTTTTATTTATCTTTATATTATTATTAGCATGAATTTCATAAAATTAGTTTATCATTCATAATTAACACGTTAAATAAAATATTACGAAGTAGCTAATAAAAATCTTCATCATAGTATTAATAGAACAATACATATTAATATATTATATTATTTATTAACTATTAATCATTAATTAATTTTTTGCAGAAATAATTCAACCAATATGCTTACCAATATCGCTGGATATGAAAATTGTCGAAACATCAAACAATATGGCATTTGTTACGGGCTGGGGAAGTACCAATGCTTTACCTCAAAACAGTAATTAAAATATTAAATTATTCATAGAATTCCATAGAAATAATTTATTTCTGAACACAGTTAAATATAGTTATTTATTTTTTAAATCTTAATTTTCATGTATTTATGCTTAAATATATTTTTTAGATAATTAATTAATTATTTAAAAAGCATGAAATATCTTTAAAACTCTTTAATTAAATAATTTAACTAACTAGTATACCTAGTTTTTTAGTCATAAAACATATTTTATTAACGTTATACTAATACTATTATAATAGAACACAAGTATTTCAAAAAATAAATCGATTGCTATTAATATAAATATATAATCATGTAAATAATTATAGGTGGTTAACAAAATTAGCGATTACTAATTACATTACAATTAAATTAAAGAAGTGAGTTTTTTATATTATTTATATCGGGCTTTGACAGATTTAAATTGTTTTATTAGACTTGTAAAAATAATTATTAATTTTATTTAGATGAAACGAGTTCAACGTCTTTAATGGAAGTTCAAATACCGATTTCGAATTTAACAGCGTGTAAACAGGCATATTCAACTTATCAAACCGTAATCGATGATAGGGTGATATGTGCTGGATATTCGAAAGGAGGAAAAGACTCTTGTCGGGTATTATTATTATTATTATTATTATTATTATTGTTATTATTTTCTTAAATTTAAAAACAAGTATTAAATTATATTTTTATTTTGTTTTGATTCAGGGAGATTCCGGAGGTCCATTAATGTGGCTTAAAAGAAAACAATTTTATTTAATTGGTATTGTTTCTTATGGTTATAAGGAGTGTGGTGATCCAGGTCATCCGGGCGTATACACCAGAGTGACGGCTTATACGGATTGGATTTTAGATAGTATAGGAAACTAGTGCCCTTAAATTCTTTTTATTTGAATATTAATGGTTATTTGCAATGAACTATAAATCTTGTAATGACTTTTTCGCTTTATTAATTTGTGAAAATTATACCAGAATTTATATATTTTATTTAAGTCACATTTGATTATTTTAACGATAGTTAATATCATCGCTATTTATGGCGTGATTAGCATAGATACTTATTACCTAATATAATAAATAGTATTGTCAAATTCTACAAAAATAAAACATCAATAATGGATTTGGCATCTTTTATGGTTTTGAATATTTTCATTTATCGTTAAAAAAAATTGTATTTTATATAGTTAATAACAAATTAGTTTATCAACATTTAATATGTTTCTAACTGATTGTTTTTGATGATATATTTTATAGACTTGGCATGTTAAATGTATCAATATAATTTTAATTTATTTACTATTCATTATTTTTAATCCTTACAATATTGTTTCATTTTTTACTATTATATGAATACAGTAAATATAAGTTAAAAATTAAATTAATCAAAAGATTAATCGGGGCTATTATTTACAGTCCATTTATGAAAACACTTATAACTTGTAACACTATAAATTAAATGGTTATATATAAATTATTAAAAATAAAGAAATATTAATTAAAGTGTGTTTTTTTTTATCAGTAAAATTGCTTTAAACTTGAAAAAAGAATAAAATAACATTGTGAATTCCATGAGAAGGAGGACGCTGATGTAAAAACCCTCAGCATTTTAGATAAAATAATGTCGCCACAGATGCAGTCAATACCTTTTGAGTGGCACTTGCAGTCTCTCATTTTTTTTTATACCTATAAACTGGTTTTACAAATTAATATACTGACATCCATAATAATAATAATTTAGAAATTATATAAAATAAAATAAATCATTATATCATAACAATTTTCAATAAATATTCTAAAAAAAAATATTTTAAGCACCCCAGAAATATTAAATGCAATTTATTACCAGTCAAAAATCTGAAAAATTGTGAATAATATTTTTATTTAAAAAAATATTATTTAAAATTATTATCATTTTTAACATGTCAGTATTGTATATCCAGCAGGGCCGTCCTTAGGATTTGCGAGGCCCAAGGCGAAAATACTTTTAAAACCTTTTAGGTATATATTTATATCTATGATCTATTATCTCCATAAAGTATAATGACATCAATAATTCTTATCATACAACAAATTTGGTAGATACCTCCTTAATTATAATTTAAAATAAGGGTTTTGGCTATGGTATCATTTTGGTCTTTTTTAAAAAATTTGAATAAAGAGTTTTTTTGACGTTCATTTTGATGTTCAATAGCAATATTAAGTTTTCGTTTTTCACCACCACTTTTAAATTTTCGATATTTATCGCGTAATCGACCACTCATTTTAATATTATTCTATTAGAATATTTGATACAATCGATGTCAACAGCAAATGCACACACGATTACACTAAAAAGTAAAAACTACTACTAATAAAATCGGTCTATCTACTATTTGCTCAATAAATATTATTTATTATTATCAATGTTTTTCAACGGTGACAGTCGACGAATGACGAACGAATAAATCTATTATTATCTATTACTAATAAGTAGGGCTCGGAAATTGATGCATTTTGCATTTTTTTTTTTGGGACTTTTTAAACGATGCTCTCCTGGCCACAAATCTGCTTCATAAGCATGTGAATCTAAATAACTAATTTTTATTTTGCATTTTTTTGGTGTTTATTACTTTTTAAGTCATTTTTTGAGATTTTTAGGCCATTTTCCCACATTTTTAGTTATTTTTACTGATTTCACACTAGTTAATTTCTTATCGTTTCTTGTCGACCATTATGCCGATAACTTAAACCACAGACTAAGATTAGTACCTATCCAATTTTATCTCGACGATTACATTTGTCGTTGTCGTATTGTAGTGAATAATATTTTACCTTTATTTTATTATTTTTTCCTAATATTCGATTAGTATCCGATTTTATCTCGCCGATTACAGTCGTCGCGTCGTTGTCGTGTAAAAGTGAATAATATTATACCTACATTTTATTATTTTTCGTAATATTTTCTTAATGCCGAAAATTAAAACATCGGTTAGTGCTCGTCTGCGTGTATTTGTGTCGGAATTCGGCGACGAATATTTATTAACAGATAATCGTCGTTCATTTACTTTTGATAACATAAAATACGCTCTAATTGTACAATGCAATGATTTTGATTTTTAAATAATTTGTAAGCATTGATAAATTTATAAAACAAATATTTTTTATTTTTTTATTTTCCATTTTTATGATCATTTTTTATTGTTTTTAAGGTCATCAACTTCCGAGCCCTACTAATAAGCAATAACAATTCAACGAATAAGACTGCTGCTTGCTACCCGCATCACCACAGCGATGTATTGCGATTACGATAATATTGTATTATTGATATTTCAATATTTTTACATTGAATCAACATCGTTATTTTTATATAATTTTTGATATAAATTTCTACTTTTTTCAAACGCGAGGCCCCAAATTTAAGCAAAAAGCGCGAGGCCCAGGACCCTTAAGGACGGCCCTGATATCCAGTTTATATGTATAATATAATAAATGAATAACCGCAAGTTCTATCAAAAAGTTTAAGATCAAAATCACATAAAATAATATTATTTAAGTATAAATTAAACGATTCATCTGTTGATTCATTTTTAGTTTTTTCTCATAGATAATGATTATTATTAATTATTATACGAGTAATTAAATTATACAACAAAAAAGTTGTGTTTTCAAAACAAAATATATAAAAACCTGTCTCATTGTATACAAAAACAGAATGCTTTGACATTCAGCGTTAACAGTAATAAATTGAAAATTAAAAATATAAGATTTTTTTATTGTAATTACAGTGTTTTTGCTGCAAATACTATCGTCATAATATTTATATAGTTTAAGTTTGATATTTTTTTATTATTTTTCACTACTCTAATTATTAGGAACCATTATGTTTTAAACATCAAGTGTGAGTTTTAATGACGAAAACAAATTCACCCCTCCAAAAAAAAACAACATTCTACATCACGTACACGAATGACCAATGGTCAATGTTAGTATTAAAAATGGAAAAAATAACATTATACCAAAAGGTGTTCTCAATACCACGGTTATACTCGATGGCAGTTTATTACCTATAATAATAATTATTATTATTATTTGTTTTTGGTTTGTATTACTACTGTGCTAGTGCTTCACTACGTTGACAATAAATGTTTACATTTAGTGCAGAGTAGTACTACAATACTACAACAGAAATACCATCATCAAGACCGTTTTCGGAAAAAAAGAAACAAACTAGGTATTTATATTTGTTTTATTTTATATAAATAATAAATATATGTACTTTTTTTTAATAAGCCTGATAAATAAGTTACTATTTATTTAAGTTAAAGCTTTAATCAACAAAATAATATACTATATCAATGGATCATAAACAGTTTGATATTTTTTCAAAAAAATATAATACTGAAAATATGGTCTTAGATTTAAAAATTTACTATTTATCAATAAATAAAATATAAATAATTACATAATAATAATTAATTTATAAATCATGTAACTAGAACACAAAATAAGTTGTAGGTGTTTTTTTTTTTTAAGCTTAAGATTTTCAGTTGATATTTTGAATATTCTTCTGTGTTTTGATACCTTTAATAGTTATTTAGTTAATTATTACAGACAAAACTCTTAAATAATAATAATAGTCATGATGAACAGTAGCAGATTAGTATTTTAATTTAATTTGGTATAAAATTTTAATAAATTGAAATTTGAAATGTTTGTTATGAGTTGGCTATTAAAATATGAATTTACTCATTGCACCTATTGTATTCTGTGCTGTTGTCCAATTTACTATAGCCATTTATTTAAATTTTAAATCGTTTGCTACTGAACAACACACTTGGCCAACTAAATTTTTTTATTTATTTTTCTTGTGAGTTGACTGGGTTGAGTCAGGTATATCTAAACCGATTCTCTATTCAAATTATAATTTTTTCATGGTCGATTCCACACCACCTTCCCCCAGACCATCACTTATAATACACATCAATATTAACGACAGTAGTATTTATCATAAAACTGGTTTGCATAATAGGATATTTAAAATTAGATATTGGTAAATACGATTTCAAAAGTTGATTTTATTTTATTCAAACATATCTATATTATGTGTACATTATTCATACTACAAATAAGTATACATTCATATAAATATAAATATATTAAATGTTTAAGTCTCAATAAATAAAAAGGTATAGATTTATTATTAGAGATATATTTTTTTTTCCTTGTATACTTTTTAATAAGATATTTTGCATATTTCTTTGTTTCAGTAATAATTTTGTTTACTGATAGGCAATGTTATACTAAATATCATGGCCAATTAAATCATTATTTTTTCATGACTTATCCCCTCCTCATTTCGTATCTTATAATAAATTAATGTTAAACATAGCAATTTAATCATGTATTATTAAACTGGTTTTTATATTAATATATTTGAAATATGACGTTGGTATACTAGATTTAAATTTCTTATTTTATTTTATTTTAATATACTTACATACTTATACTACAAATAGGTGCTTATCTGTGTAATAATATTAACATTATTATATGCACAAAACATCATAGTTAAATTTCCTTAATTCACTATTTTAATGTCATTCTTAAATCCAATTAAAACTTTACCTAATATTCAAAACAATCATATATAAACTTAAATTTATTATTTATATATATATGTGTGTGTGTGTGTGTGTGTGTATGTGTGTAATAGACGTTTTATATTTATTACTAGGTACCTATGCATATTAATAATATAATGAAATACAATAAAATATAATTAAAAAACAATGTTTAAATGACGTATATTATAATGATAATAATGATAGGTATTTAATTTAGCGAAACATATTTAATCTCAATTTTAGTAACATATATTGTATTTATTATTTATAATATCAATAAATTACAATTTAAAGCAACTTGGTAAATAAACAATGATGATACGAGTAAGTGATCACTAAAATAATTTATAATCCCCTAAGATAAAAACTTAAATACTTTTCTAATAAAAATACTGTAAAGTTTACTATTAATATGATACTAAAAAAAAAGTTTTATTCTTACTTAAATTATTTATCAAAAAATGAGAATCCTAGTTAAACTAAACTACAAACAGTTACCTAATTTTAATCCCCATATACATAGCTAAATAAGTATTTTATATTGGCATTTGGGCGAATAATATATTATATATATATATATGTGTCATGCTGTATCATGCTATATATGCCAATCAAAATAATTAAACTTATTTTTACTTGCAGTATTACCTTCAATTATCAACATGGGAAAAGAACAATATTTTATGATCATAACCCTTGTAGTGGGAATTATAAATGCTCTTCCTAAAGATAGTAAGTAATTCATATGTTGTATACATTGACACTAAGTAATAAGTCAATAATTTTTCTTTTCTTTTTTTTTTTTTTTGCTTTAAAACCAATTATTAGTTAAAAATATAACTTTTCTCCGTGCTTTCTTTAAGTTGGTTTTTTTTTTTGTGTGGGAGGGAGTAGAAATTAAATGTGTTTAAAATAAATTACTCTCAGTCAACGTCCCAATTTCTATTTTAAATATGTTGTTATTTCAGCTAAAACTTTATTATATTGTCTTGAGGTCATTATTTTATTTATATCTTAATAGTTTTTAAACATGAATACATGTCATATAACTATAAAAAGGTTAACTAATATTCATTTTTTTTTTTTTTACATTTTTAGATATTGTGTTTATTGATTTACTTAAAACACCAAGTATATCATATGCTGACCAATCAAATTTGGCATCTAAATTGCCATCAGAAGATACATGTGGTCAAAGAAAGATACCAAGCCTTCGAATAATTGGAGGAAGTGACTCAAAATTAGGTTAACATTTTTGTTTTTATTTTAAATTAATTTTTATTTATTCCAGTATAAAAAAATTAAAAATTATTAAATATAAATTCAATTAAGTTATCTTAGTATTTACGATTTGGCAGGTGCTTGGCCGTGGATGGTAGCTCTCGGATATAAGAATGTAAAAAATACCAATAGTTCTATCGAGTGGCTATGTGGTGGTACATTAATTTCTAACAAACACGTCTTAACTGCTTCCACGTGTGTGAACAATACAGGGAGTAAAATATTGTAAGTAAACCACGTTTAATGAGTTGAAGAAGCTGTTTATTAAAAGGTAAACATTTAGTTAATTTTTAGTTACTTCGCATGACAATAATATGATAGACCATGCCAAAAAAATACAATCAAATAATACCAATGATCAATAACTACTTTTGAAGTCCTAATATCGAAATTATCAATCATTGTAGAATATTTAGGTTTCGATGATTTTGTATTTAAAAGAGGAACACTTTATATAGGTCTTAATGAACTCTGATTTTGTAAATATACTTTAAATATTTATTAAAAACTACTTTAAATGTTTATTATTTAGACTTGAGAATTTTTTCTGGGAGACAAGTTTATACAATAAAAACACATTAGATTCTAACCTCTAAGTCAAATCTGTTAATAATTGGTACTCTTCGTTCATATTTTAACAAATCACGTTGTGAAAACAGTATTTATTGTCCAAAACAGTTATTAAGAGTGTCTCTAAAAATTAACTTTTAAATTTGTTACAGGGCAGTGGCACGCTTAGGTGACTTGGATTTGGATCCCAAAATCGATGATGGGGCTACCCCATTAGATGTTCCGATTGAACGTATTATACAACATAAAGAATATAATAAACGTACTTTAACCGACGACATTGCATTACTGGTATTGAAAAATAATATCGATTTTACTGGTAAGTTTTTTTTAGCACTTTTCCTCAACTGCAGAATACTCTACTATACCAAATATCTATATTAATAATCGTTATTTTATTTTTATCCATTGAAAAACTATGTTGATATCATTATCTGCACTTATATTATCTATTATTAGTTGACTATTAAAAAATATATTATTTTTTATCATAGTACTATTGTTGACATATGTTTTAATAAAATAGATTTATATCAGTACCATTGACAAAGATAATATGCAAAATGTGTACTATGTATCGTGTGTAATTCATTCACAAAAAAATAATGTTATTAATTATTTTTTATATAATTTTATGTTGTATTTTTTTTTTTTTTTTTTTGTTTGGCTAGAATTAATCCAACCAATATGTTTACCACTATCGCCAGATATGAAAAACATTGATATGGGAAATAATTTGCCGTTTATTGCCGGATGGGGAACTACTGAATTCAGTATATTAATTATTTATTTACTATAAAATTATTATTTAATATATTTCAGCAAATTGGATGTTTTTATAATCATTATATTTTGTTTAATTACTATAGAAGTATAGAATCAAACAATTATTATTATTGATAAAATATGGTATTAAAAGATTTAATGTCTATTAACATAATAGGAGTTTAAAAAAAAGTATTTCGTAATATTTATAAAATAATAATTATAAATATTATTTAGGAGGTAAAAGTTATTCATCTTTAAAAGAAGTTCGAATTCCAGTTATAAGCCCCGCGGAATGTTCAACAATATATGGAAATGAAAAAATTTTAATCGATGACAGAGTATTATGCGCTGGAGAAACAGGAAAAGACTCGTGTCAGGTATTTAATGATAAATTTATTTCGATTTTATTTTGAAAAAAGGAAATCAGGTAAACACTCCGCTGTATATTAGAAGTCAAATTTATCTTACCATTGAATAAGTCATTGTAATGTGTAACGAAAGTACTAATATAATATACATCATTGTATACGATAAACCAAATTAGATTAAAGATGGTATGTCAGACTATATTTCTGTTATATTTTATAATACATTTATGTAATATATTCATATTCTCATTAAAACGATGAATCTGAAAAAACTGCATTTTATTTTCAATATGTTTCAGGGTGATTCCGGAAGTCCATTAATGTGGTTTAAAAAAAAACAATTTTATTTGATGGGCATTGTTTCTTATGGTAAACTATGTGGAGTTGATCCGGGCGTATATACCAAAATTACTTCTTTTACTGATTGGATTTTAGAGAATTTATAAATTATCAATTTTCAATAACAATGTACGTTTATAAACGATTAAATGATTTATTTACTTTATTAATCCATATAAATTATAAGCACAATAATAGTTTTCCAATGCTATTCATGTGTTTTTTTTTCTTATTCCATTCTTGTGAATGAACTAAAATATAATATATTGTTAGAGAACAACATTTTTAGTTATATTGATGATGGATCTTTCATAGTTATTAATATCTTCACTTTTAGTGTCTATGTCTTCTTTCTGCTTTGTTGATAACATAATATGTTTAAAATAACATGCAATAACAGTATATTTACTAATTTTGTTTTATAATCAATTATTTATAGTAAAATTGCTTTAATCAAGAGTAAAAAGTAAATTAAAATACATTTCATTATTAAAATGACAAAAGAATAAATTTTTGCATCAGAGTACCTTACATCGATTTATTTTGGTTGGAAAATTTAAAATACCTTGAAGCCTACACATTCTCAATATTCTATTTATTAGTTGTTAAATCTGCCTCAATTGTTAAAATTGTTAAATAGTTTAAAATGTTTAAATGCAACTAAAGTTTTGCTAACTTGATATCGCTAGAAATTTAGGTAGTTTTGTTTCATCACAATTATTAATTTTGAAAAGTATATTTTTTTATTCTAAAATTGTAGTTTGATGTTAAAGTTAGATGATACCGATGATTGATTTATTGAAAATATTAATGATAATAAATAATATTTTTAATTAATGTTTATATCAATAAACTAAAAACACGCTATAATTGTAATACACTCGCAAGCGCTTGTTTGCATGTATATGCTACCGTCCATAATGTACAACACGAATATAATAGGTACGTACGTTGCTAACTCCTGTAACTGTATCCAGTTTTATATCCAGTTTAATAGAAGGGGATTTTTTTTTACAAGTAAGCAGTGGCGTAATTATGGGGGGAGATATGGGGATATATTCCCCCCAGAGGCTTTTTTTTTTTAGAAAACTATAATTAAATACACAAGTCAAACTTCAAAAATAAAACGACGAATACGATAGAATACGACGAATCAGCATTAAAAGATTTTGACGAGATTATTGAAAAAAATAAAGTAGAACAACAAGGATTACCAAATGTAGAAACCGCGGATAAAAATAAGGTATAGCAAACTTTTGTTAGCCCTTGCTGAAAGGTTCCCCAAAATGTATGATGCCATAGAACAATCGATAAACAAAGAACATTCTTATACAAATAATACAATCAAACATTTCAACGAGTCTGGTTATGGTAATAGTAATAATAGTTATAACTTATAATAGTAATAATAACACAATTATTTCTATTAATACTAACCATTATAATAATTCTACGAATGATAAAATCCATCCTACAAAAAGAAGACCATAATAACCGCTGCTCATAAGTCACACTGTTCGGTGAGTTACCGATAGATCTCCTGAACCCAATAAGCACCGCCAATCCACGTCAAAATAGTATGTTTCAATATGTTCTGGATCCCCCGCAAAACCAGTGAATCCGGCTACCCTGCCCAGCCTATAGCTTTATGCTATCACGTTATTATTACGTTCTATACGTATTATTGTTCTAAGTAATTTTAATTTTGCACAAGAAAAAAGTATAACTAGTATAAATATTATTCGCCACTGATAACTGCGGCAATGGATTTATTAAATTATAAATACGTATTTGCGTTCGATAAAAAAACAATTGGTGGGGAAGTGTCTAAAATATCCCTTAATGACTTGGTAAAATTTGAATAATTTCTAGATATTCCGGATAAATTGTAAACTTTGTTTAAATATATAGGTACCTTGAAACGTGTCGCCGGATCTAATAAAATTAATTGCGCTTTTAAAGTATGAATAATTTCTAGATATTCCGGATAAATTGTAAACTTTGTTTAAATATATAGGTACCTTGAAACGTGTCGCCGGATCTAATAAAATTAATTGCGCTTTTAAAGTATGAATATAAATATTTTTATAGTCATGAGTAAAATGCTATAATACGGTGAGCTATATTTTTTTAAGTCGGTGGAAGAGGGAAGGCATGGAAGATTATAACTATTTAAGTAATAATAAACGTACAGAAATAGAGATTATTATTTTTAATAATGTGTCAGGTTTTATACATCTTTGGCATTGATAATATCCAGTACCTATCTACTAAACGATTTATTTATGTTATTTGTATACATTTGAATTGTTGTATTTTTTAGAAGTAATTAATTAATATTTATTCATAATTGTCAAAAACCTTAGCATACAGTTTACGTATTACCTATACTAGAGGAAGGATATCACATGCGTTACGGTGTGACGCACAATTATGCGATTTCTAGGAAAATGTTGTCTTACTGTCTTAGATAATCACATACACAAATCAAGGACTTCGTGTATGTAATAAGACTATTTTCTATTTGACATAATAATAATATGACAAGTAGCAATAAATAATATATTGCAAAGGAGGATATTGAAAAACCCAATCGACCACTTCTTCGACAATATGAACTAGACCAACCGGTCTGTTCATTGAGATCAATTCGAAATAGCTGACATTTTGACTGAAAACGGCAATAAATCATACATCATAATATTGATTTTTTTTTTTTTTATGTATATAACCGTAAATCATTCGCATGTATTTGTGATTCTCATCTAGTGTGATCTATATCGTTTGTGTATTCGTTTTCTCGTTCTTGATAATATGTCGAAACAGGCTATTGTATGGTGTTTGATTTTCGCGTACACCGCCAATTCACAATTCTCGAACCGAAAAGACGGTGAGACTGACAAGTCGGGATTAACTCAATGCTTATGTTGGTCTTATTTCAACCTTTGTCTGCGTAGATGAGCTGTGCAAAGTGATAACAAAAACTAACGACGATTATACGTGTAAGCCAATCAATCAATGTCCAGTAGCTCTTCGCGCTGCTGAAGACCTTTCGGTGTATCCAAAGATATGCAGGTTCCGTGGACAAACACCAATCGTATGCTGTCAGACTTCACAAGAAATCCTCAGTAGAAATTCCACCGAAAGCGAGTGAAATATTATTATTATTATTTATTTTTTACTATCGGCAATAACGTTTAAATCTTAAAAACTCCAAATGATTTTGTGTAGTGTGCAGAGAATATTATTCGTTGACTACGAAGGGTGGTGGAATTATCGACTCCGGTAGTTGTCGAACGAAAAATATGATCAGCAAAAATCTTCTTACCATCGTCGGCGGGGACAAAGCCGAGGAAATGGAATTTCCTCATATGGCAAGTACCTATCAATTAATGTAAAAAAAAATTAAACTAAATTTAAGCGAATCGTTTTATTGAAATTGCCCATGATATAAATATGGTGACTCACAACAATAATAAACTTGTCACTCATTTTTTCAAAAAAATATTCATGAATATCTCAAGATAATGTTCTTATTTTTCTAAGAACTGTATGATAATATTTAAAATAGTTATAGTATACATGCTTAGTGCAATATTATTCCTGCACAGTGCACACCTACCTATAATTTAAAATATTAGATATCTACTGTTTCCATCTCTATCTGTGCATGCAGTTTAGATGCCTACTAAAATATTACAGTATCTACCTAAGCGTTGAACATTCTATATAAGTAGCGTGCTACCTCCAAATAATAATAAATAGAATAAATGTGTAATGTTTGTAATAATTAGTCAGAAATATTCAGGTTCTTTTAGGATTTGGAGAGAAAATTAAGAATGTCGAATGGGCCTGCGGTGGATCATTGATTAGCGATCGTTATGTGCTTTCAGCAGCACACTGTTCTGAAATTGGAAAAAAGTAAGTTCCCATTATAACGTTAACTCGACATAAACATTTAACAGGTATGATAACTACAAAAATATAAATGTTTTTCGTTTTTTAAGTGAAAACTAAATTTTATTTTCAACATATCTATGAAGTGTTTTATTTATTTTTATTTTATACGTACCAACTATAATTAATTAGGTACTTCATTTTTATTTTTTTTTTTTATCCAAGACCAATATACGTCATAATATTATATTAATACATTATGAAACGAATTTCAACTATATAATACGGTTATTCTTACTTCAGAAGTCCAGTTAAATGGGCCTTGCTGGGTGACAACAACATAGGTTCAAATGAAGGTGCTGCAGACCCTCAGGTTCGCGAAATCGACCAACGCATCTTGCATCCAGATTACAAACCTCCGTCAATGTACAACGATATCGGTCTGTTCCGGTTAAGCACACCGGTTAAATTCAATCAATTTATCTTACCGATATGCATAAACTCCGAAAAGCAATTGACTGTTAAACAAGCAATCGCCATTGGTTGGGGAAGAACTAGTTCAGGTTTTTGTATACTATTTATGTAGTTTTAAGAACATTTTGAAAAATGTTCTAAGTCATTTTCAAATTATTAATAGTACATAGGTACTACATATTAATTATTATTAACATTATGTTGCAACAATTGCTACAATCGAAAAACCAATTATTATATAATGTACTTTGAACAATATATTAAATTAGATCAAATACATGCTAGTAAACTTGAGGATCTTCTAAGTAAAAGTCTTAATAATTTATCTATAAATCATTAAAAAAAAAAAAAAAAACTTAGTTAATTTATTATCATAACATACACACATATATATATATATATTACAAATATTATCTAGACACAATTTAACAATACGTCAATACTTTTAATATATATTTATATTTAAATTAATATATTTTATATTAATATCTATAATTAAGGTACCTATATGTTTTAATGTTTTATCCCAATAATTAGTGATCATCCTATAATTTCTATCTGGTACTTATCAATTATTTTATTAGGTAATTCTAAAAATGTACTGTGTCCAAACGTGCATGTAATAATGTTAAAGCCATTTTTTATATACATTCTGAACTTAAGTTTAAATTCAAATTTTATAATTTTTTAGAAATAATAGATAATACTGCACTATATCAGCGGTTCTCAAACTGTGGTACGCGTACCACTAGTGGTACGCGAAAGACTACGTCATGATGGTACGCGGAACTGCGGAAGGCCGCTTGGTGGTAGGATTTTTAATCTTCAGTGGTACGCGACTGATTGATAATATACTTAAGTGGTACGCGAAATAAAAAGTTTGAGAACCGCTGCACTATATCATAATATAATAATTGGCTTCGTGCCTTATTCGTAACCTCATTAAAATTATTTAGTGATTTATTGATTAATATATTTTATTATTATTATTATTGATTTAGCTGGTCAAACAAGTAATTTATTGATGAAAGTATCATTAGATTTAGTGGAACAAAATGAATGCAATCGTAGCTATTCGTCTTCCAGGAGTCCAAACTTAAAATTTGGAATAAATCCTAACAATCAAATTTGTGCCGGAAAAATGGAAGGTGGCAAGGACACGTGTCAAGTACGAAATTAAAATTTAAATAACTATGAATAGGTACTAATCTATTATAAAGTAAATACTAAATCTATAATAATTTATTTATTGGTAAATTTAACTTGTCGAATTGAAATAGTTGTTCATATACAGGTAGGTACCTCAGTAGGTAGGTACCTGCCTACCTACTGTTGAGTAACCTATACGATAACTACCGTTAATTTGTGTTCTTAAATCTATGGATAACGGTTTTTGATATACTAAAAATGTAATGTCAGATTATATAGTATTATATATTTTGTAACTTAGGTAATATAAATTTGACGTTACACCACGAAAATAGATGACCATTCTTTATGGATACCAGGACATGGCACTATTTCGTTGTCATTTTAGTGCTTCTTTTTCATTCACAAACAATGTTTAGTTTAGATCTCATGAGATTCCATACAAGTATATTGTGAATCAAGAAATATTTTAAAACTGTTGTGTTATTGATTCTGTAAATATTTTATGCACTTATTTGGCTATCTAGGGCGATTCAGGTGGACCATTACAGATCGTACATCCTGAATTTGAGTGTATGTACACGCAAGTGGGTATTACGTCGTTCGGGAAACTGTGTGGTGAACCAAATGTGCCTGGCGTCTACACGAAGGTGTCCAATTACGTGTCTTGGATCGATAGCGTCGTTTGGTCGAACTCTCCATGAATATTGCGATTACAGCCATTTAAAATGATGATTATACAGCAAAAGAATTTTCTTTCAGCACATATTATTATTATAGTGCGTGGTAAATGTAATACCAATTTATATGTTATGTCATATAATTATGTGCACACCTACCTATAATAATTATCCTTTATACAACATTAGGTACCTAGTAGATATTATTGGTAACAACTTATAAGTATATTAATGTATACTACACGTCTACCTACCTAATGTTATTGTAATAAAATGTTTAATGTATTAATAAAATATGTGGATTACATTTAAAGCTAATATTTGATAAGTATTATAATTACTATAATTTAATATCTATATAAACACACAAAAAAAAAAACTTTGCAGTGTTCGGTATTTTATTAGTAGATTGATACCTCAATTTAAGCCGTAAAAAATGTAAGAGTGCATATATATGTATAGATATATCTCGATCAACGCTTAGATATTATGTAAATAATCGATTTCTAAGTGTTAAATTATAAAATTAAAAACTATTTTTTAAGTACTATTTTTCTTTCTTGTCAGTCATTAATATACCGTCTGATTAGTTATTTATAAAAGTGATTGAATCATCGAGATTATAATACTTAACTGTCTTAAAAACTACCTACCTACCAAACTGTTGAAAACCGGAAAACTATGTCAGAATTGAAAGAATAGGTAGTGTTGGAGTAGGTTATTTCGTACTACCCACTAGTTTATAAATTTTTAATAATAGTTGAGTGTCTACTGTTAAAAAAGATTACAAATTTATAAGCGAATGGTTTAGTAACTAAACTTTAGTTATTTAGGAAAAAAAATATTATTTTCATGAAAAAAAGAAACGTATATGATAACGCCATCTAGCGGTTGATATTAATGACAGTCATGTTCAGTAACTATAGTATATTACAATATGTTATTTAAAATAAATCGTACACATTTTCTGTTTATGAAGAACTTAAAAAATATATGCAAGTCGTTCTCAAAATAATCTAAAAATATCTTAAATACATGATATGCAAAATAAATTGTTTACACACATTATTTTGAGAATGAATATTTTAATTTTTTAATGAAAAATAATAACATAGGTACTTAGTTATTCTATTGTAATTAATAAAATATTACCCATAGAAACTTGATACAATTGTGTATGAAAATATTTACCTAACATTATGAAATTTTCAAAGTATTTGGTTATAGGCTATTTTTATCACAAACAAATTCTCATTCTTTTACAGTATGAAGTGTAATGGTATAAAATCCATTAGAATATTTACATTTTATTGATTTACACATAATAGAAAACTTTTAATAGTTATTAATATGTAAAAATGATATTAATTAATACATGAAAATAAATTTATCTTTACAATAATCATAAATCTCAATAATAATTAAAAAAAAAAAGAAAATAATTGATTATTGTTTAAGTGTAAATAATAAAAAATACTGTGGCAAGGAGAGGAGGTGAACATATTCCTAGTTTAGTAAATTGAAATTTTTCAAGCAAAATTAAAATTATAATATAAAATAGGTTTTAAATTTTAAATTTAATATTAAGAAGTAAGTACAATGATTATAATTTGCTTGCTTTATTAAATTAACACGATTAAATATTTTTATATTTTGAAAAAAAAAATTAACGGTTTATTTTAAATAATGTAATTTCAGTTTTTCTAGTATAATTTCACAAATGAACTTTTAGAGAAGTAGCTTCTCTTATTCTACAATAGTCTATAAGCTATAAGTACCTATTATCGTCAAGCAAATTGTTGCAAGAGATAGTAAGTTAAATTTTAATTCAATGATAAAGAATTACACAAAGAAAATCATAGAACGAATAGTGTGTTAAACTGTTTCTAATTGTATCTTATAGTATAATTACATATATTGCAATTAGTTATTTATTTTTTGATATATAAGTAATATATTTACTATATTACTTAATAATAATTAAAGTATTATAATACATATTATTTTTATTAATTTATTATAAATTATTATCAATATATTGTTAAATGGTGTGAATAAGTTAATACTATAATTACTAGCTTTTAATTATCTACACTAAATATTTTGAAAATGTAATTATATATATTGTAATAAATAATAATAATAATAATAATAATAATATGCATAATAGTAAAAAGTTTCAAATATTTATGATTTTATACTACTTTAATTATGATAAAATGTTCTTTATGTTTATCCCTGGAAGTTGGAGTATTTTTATCAATTGTTAGACAACTATGTAAATGTATCAAAAACAGTTTAATGCTTAAAGTTTATAACAACTTATATTAGGATTTATTATATTATATTATTAATAATCTACAGCAAATAGTAATAATTAACGATTCCAGTAATATTAATATTAACTGAAAATAAAATAAAATAACAACTTAGATTATAATATTTTAAAGCAGATTCCGATTTGAAAAATATAATGTGAAATGTTTAATTAGTTTGCAAACAGTACTAATTTTTAATTCATTTTTATAATAAACACTAAAAATTAAATGTATAATTGTTATAAGGCAGAGCTATGTATTTTCTTATTTCTTCAGTTACCATTAATTTTTACTTGATATTAGGTATAGGATGTATTCACTTTTCAATTATTTTTAGTACAAAGCTTAACAGTTTCAGATGAATTTTTCTTTGCATTGCATTATTCCCTTTATAATGTTTTAGCTAGTGTCTTATATTTTTATTTTACATCTTAATTCTGCTATTTAGGAATTTCTTTGATGCAAACCAGATATAATAGATTAATAATAATTGTATCAAGTAAATATTATTAATTTTTAAGATTTTTAATGATTTGTATAACTTGTATATATTACAGTCAAGATAGTTAACATGACTCTTAAGTCTTAAGCAATGTTAATAATTATAAAAAATCTCTAATAAACTATGCCAGCGTTATACTTATTCAATTTAGACATTATTGCTGGTATATTATATTACACAGATACCCACTACCTACACATACCTATAGTGATATTTTTATGATTATAACTTGAAGACTGTACGTTGTATGGTGTACAGCAATTTCTGTTGTAAGGGTGGTAACTCTTTTCAATATTGAAAAATCATGTCACTGAAAGAACAGTTAAATATTATTATACAAAAATATTAGATTTACATTAGAAGGCTGATAATATAACAATAAATAATTTTATGAATGATTGCCCTTGGTTAGTTTACAACATTAATACCTGATAAATATAATACAAATGGTAGATCAATACTCACATATAACCCTGTTAAATGACAGATTTAATCTCGTGCAAAATATAAGCTGAAAAACATAGGTATTAAAGTTAATTAATACAATAAAATGTATAGATCTCACGTGCATGCGACTACCCAGCCACGGTTATTGTCGATTAAGTCAATGAACAAAAAATAAACCACAACGTTCAAACCACGGGCAGGAACAACACAAAATCACAACAGTTGTCGATTAACACAAGTAACACCCTAAACTAAAGAAAACAACATTAACTCTTAATACTGGTTGTTGCTCAAACAATAGTTACCAAACTACATCAAATTTCACTGGACGCAGATTGAAGACAGATGAAAAGATGATTTAAAACATGTGGATGTGTTCCATTTTCTGTAAACAAATACAATAAAAAAGAAAAAGAAGTTGCGACGAAAATGCTGTAATGACAGTTCAATAACAAGTCCACGTAAAGTTTGCCCATCGCTTGATGAACCAAAAACCAACAAATAAGGCTTTCAATACCTAACTCTGTAAACGCGCGAATGATGGAAAATGTTAACTTCCGGTATTTTAATCACGGTAAGACTTATCTAAAATTTAAAAAACGCGAACATTTTTAACATGGATTTTGTCAAGAGATACAAACACGACACATGAGGAGACCCTTAATCCAAGCTTACGCTCAGGACATTTCTTACCAATATTTTCAGTACTCACTGAACTCAGTTTTAACTCTTAATAGTCTTAACACTCTTAACACTCTTAACAGTCTTAACTCTGCGTATGACTCGAAATTCGAACGAACATACATGTCGTATGACTCGTATGAGACAGTCGTGAATCGTGATATGAGCCGATGTGCCATGCTCGTCGCTTAGTATCGAACGGATAACAGCTGAGCAGTTATCATACCGCAACAGAGATACGTAAAACGTTGTCGGGACGCATCAACAAAATTAAACACGTTTGTGGTGTGAACAAATTTCTAGATACTTAAATACTTACAGTGCCTGTAAGATCGTATTTGTAGTTATTTAAAATTTAAAAATGTTTGTAAATCAATAAAAATAATTAACTCCAGACTTGAGTTAATTAAGTTAGGTCAACGTAAATTATAGGTTATAGTTTATGACTAGGTAACTCATAAATTTATGATAGCTAGTAAGCAATATATTATTTAAAACATAGTGTACGAGTTCGAAATAAGAACACAGAAGAATATTAAATTTAATACATTTTTTTTTTTCATCATAAATAAATATTTGTTAAAAATTCCGTCTACTATTCCATCTTATTTCATACTGTCTGTAGTAGTTTTGTCAATTACACGTTTGTTGTATTTTATAATTATTGATTGGCATATTTGATATTTATTTACTTTTTTTTCTTGATTAAATTAAGCGTGTAAAATGTGATCAAACAAAACAGTAATATACTAATTACTAATATATCTACGCCTTTTTGTTGGACTTGCTTTATTATCGCATTCTTAATTTTATGTTTATTGTCTTTCAAATACATAAACCGTAATAATGTAATCTATTATACTATACGGATACTTTAATTAGGTAAATTGTTAAGTTTATTAGAAATTAAGTACCTGATTAGTAGGTAGTTATCAAATTAAAAAAAAAGTTAACATATTCGATATTATTTATGTAAGCAAATCACCAAACATTGTGTTAGAAGTTTTGAACCGTTTGAAAAAAAAAAAGTTTAATTAAATATAAAAATAATAAAACGAAAAATACGATCACATTGGACATTATATCTGTGTGGTATTTAATATAGATTGTATACACTATAGACATATCACCACTTATAGTATTACGTCGTCTCGGTTAACATTTTCAGTTTGTTTATACAGATTTATTGTTGACAATATAAATGTTTTTTGTATTATCGCAATTACTGTACAGTATCATTTGTTCTCAAAATGTTATAAGCACCTACAAAATTCACAAGAGATAAAATATTGATATGTCCATTAATAATAGTTAATACTTAATATTATATAATATACAGATACTATAGATACCGCAAAAATATAATTTTATCATAACATAGTAAACTGAGCTCAATTTTTCTTCCGGGTAAAAATTAAACCATTTAACCGTTTTTCAAAACGAATTTTACGTATTGCAAAGAATAATTTATGCCGCTGAATAATATTTTATTTGATCACCTATATTATATTCGGGACGAACAAAAAAATCAGACGCGATTATACACATTTATCGAAAAAATGTTGAACAACTATTATAGATGACCCACGCGTGTTTAGCTGGCTGTCGGAGTCCTGTGGGTTAGTACACACTACACACGTGTCAAAAAATATATTTAAACATATATTAATATTTAATATGCATAAAATAATAATCATGGTAGAAAATAAATACTCACGTTAAACCGATTAACGAATTATGATGTTTACCATTCTACGAATTTATATTAATTAAATATTCGTAAAATACTTCAAAAACGCACGCACGTATTTGATTTTAAATTTCTGCAGAAAACTATTATTACAAATCTATACTTGTTTTATTAGAGTACACGACGTTGATAATATTAATCCATCGAATTTGTAAAACGTTAATCTGTTTGATATAATATTTTCATCAATCAGAAGCCAAAAAGTACTTGGCTTAACATTAATTTTACAATGTTACATTCTTATATTATAATTAGAAACCGAAATTATATGCACTAATAATGTGGCAAATATGATACAAATATATAAAGTAAAAGGGTAAAAATATACATTAATATTTAGGTACAAATAATTGAAAAATATGCTCAAATATGCGTCATAAATTTATATTATTTCAAACAATACAAACATTAGAACAAATAAAAAAAATAAATATAACTTTATGACTTTTCAATATTTAAATATACCAACAAAATATTTAAATATAAAAAAATAACATCATTCTATATGTTTTTAAAACAGTTTAAACAAATATAGGTAATATAATAAAAACTGCGGTGTTACCACTTACCAATAAATGAATGTTAAATTTTTACACAACTTTAAGAAGTCACTTTAAAAGTAATTTAATTTGTCATATAATAGTTTATCAATACGGTATCGAACTAGAGAAGATAAAATTCTATACTGTGTTGACGGTATTTTTTATTCGTTAGTATGGCAGTATTTAAAAATTACGATTTCTAAAATAAAAACTTAAAATAATTTGATTATTTACTAAGATTGTAAAAAATATGCACATTATATGTACTTTTGAAAAAATGTAGCTCAACCCTCTAAATATACCATTATATGCAAAATTAAATTTGGTCTAGAGAATCAGTTGGGTCTGAATCGCCTACATTTCAAACCCTCGTGTAAGTGCATACATTTAGTATGAACATGCAAACGCATAAAATTCTGGTCTCTAATTATAATATTTATATAATATTTAATTTAAATATAATATATTGAACTACAAAGTGTATTTACTTTCTACGAGCGACGACTGATACTTAGCACCAAGTATGATGTAGATGAGAGGTAGACGTAACTTGAATGGCTGTAGATCAACATCAATAATAGTATGAATTCTGAAGTATTTAAAGTATCAATTAAATGAATAGCAACTAAAATGTTCCGATTTTGTTGTTTATCTATGTAGTTATATATAGTTAGACATATTATGACATGTTATGCGAAACCAAAACAATATAATAAGGATGATCATGGACGAGAATCCAGTTGGCAAAAGACCATTGGGGAGACCTAGATTGAGGTGGGAAGATATGATAAAAAGAGACGTGGAGACACTTAATGGAGGACCGGATTGGAAAGTACAAGCACTAGATAGGGAAAGATGGAGAATTGGATGTGTGACGGGATGGTCTTAATAGCCGATAAAGAAGAAGAAGAAAAGTTATATATCGTATCCATAATATACTTTTTTGTAACAATAAGTTAATTTTATTAATCTTGATGAATTGTTTAGTCATAAAATCAAAGCGGTTTTTTTGTTTTATTATTTTATAAAGTTTTAAAGTATGTTTTATACAAATTTATAGCCAAGTAATAAAAAGATCCTTAAGTAATATTATTTTTAATTTTAAAAGCAATTATTACTGTTCGTCTGTTCACTAAACTATTATAAGTAATAATTTAATTTTAAAATAACGAATTTTAACATTTTATTAAGTGTATTTTGCATGGAAATTCAAATATAATTAAAATATCTATGAGTTTAAAGATTGAAAATGTATTATATATTTTTAAAATATGTTAAGCTTGTGTAGATTTTTATTAAATTCGAATATCATTGATATTATACAATTATGTAAAGTATTTGAATAAATGTTTTTAAATACTGAAATAATTTTTAAATTGAACATTTTAAACATTGTTTTGGATGTATTGTATTGTATTTTAAATTTAAAAAAATATTATTAGTCACATTTTAGATTGTTTTTTGTTTATCATTTTATTATGTTATTTATAATTAAAATAAAATTATTAAATATTTATTTTTATATTCGTTTTAATATAACTTTGTTTAAGTATGTATATCAAGCGATGAGAGTAGTTAAACAAATAAATATGTTTTTCATTTATTAATCAATACTTATGGAAACCCTAAAATAATATGCAACATTTCGGGTCAAAAATCTTTAATTCTCAACTCATACCACTATTTGATATTTTTAACTTATTAATTTTAATGAAATTTTATTATCACCTCACAGTTTTTGAATTATAATACTAACTTGTATAGGTACTTAAGACTATCGTGCTAGTTATGAATTCAGAAATATATCGTTTGTTTTGTCCAGTTTTAAAATAGAATTATAAATTACAATTACATCATTACTTTTAATATCGCAACATTTGCAACATACAATATTATGTAGATACGAAAAATCAAATTATAGACTGCATTGAATAGCCTGTGAATTATCTTAGTTATAGACAGTTATACACATAAATACACGAATTTAACGTATAGATTCTTTCATAAGTTTTTAAATAAAACTAATGATAAAATATTGTTTCTTTTTAGTGTCAGAAATGACTTATAATTATGGAAATGTTTAGTTTTGAAGTTTATATACCGTGTTATTAAAATAAATTTTAGTATTCGATTAAAAAAAAAAAAAAAAAAAAAATGAACGATGTGCAACACAATATATCTAGATTTTTAAATAGATATAATTCGTGTTTAAGCCATCTGCGCTATATACCTCAATAGAATGCATATTGTTTATCTAGGTACCTATTATCAGTTATCGTTCTGCAAAATATTTTTTAATGCGTTCAAAACAAATCTAAACCCAATATTTTAATAAATACTGCTGTGGTTCAGTGGTTGACCCATTTAACACGCATTCAACATTGTATACCATTGTAAACATATTACGTGTAAACAAAAACCATGGCTTTATAAATTGAAAGTATATAATATTATAATAATGTATCTAGTGCCTGTAACGATTTCAACGAATAACTGGGAAAGCTTTGAACGCGTTATTGTATAATATTCTGTACAGCGGATCACAAATCAAACAGATATACCTTCAAGTGACACACTCATCTCTCGATGATATCTGATCTCAATTAACTATAATGTGCACATATAGGCATATGGATTATGTACATTAGGCGTGGTGTATATAGGTGATTATTATATTGTATGCTGAGTGGTCCGTTTTACCGGTTACAGTAATTTTCCAAGTGAGGTTTTTGAAATTTTAAAAAATAAAAATGTATACAGAATAATGAGTTTGAATACTTCATTTTTATTAAAAAAAAAAAAAAAAAATGTTTTCTGTATTTTTCCACATAGTGTGATTGTTTACAAAAAATA